ATAGAGATAATAATAGACATTCTTCCACTGCCACTAACCAGACCTCTCATGGTTTTTTAAAGGCATTCTTTTCAGTCAGACAATCTATAGTATATTTTCATAAGAACCTACTTTCATGTCCATAGTATATAATCCAGATCCAGTATTAATGCTTACATGTCATGGATAACTACAGAGTAATTTAAACATCTGACTTCTGAGTTTTGTATAAAATTTTAAAATCACATGTAAGTAAAAAAATTGAAAGAAAAAATTGTCACTTAAAAAAAATTCACTGCTACTTTAAAATGGATCATTTTAGAAATATAAATTGATTGCTTCCTTGCTCATCTGGTTATCAAGATCAATTCTGAGGTCACTCAGAGATATAATAAAGGAATCAGGAGACTTTGACAATAGGAAGCCAGAGACATGTAGAATTTAAAACAAAAACAAAAACAAAAACCCTTAGAATCCTAGAAAACTTGTCTCTCTCAATTAGTAAATAATTTGATTTTGGGATCCCTGGGTGGCACAGCGGTTTGGCCCAGGGTGTGATCCTGGAGACCCCGGATCGAATCCCACGTCGGGCTCCCGGTGCATGGAGCCTGCTTCTCCCTCTGCCTGTGTCTCTGCCTCTCTCTCTCTCTCTCTCTCTCTCTGTGTGTGTGTGTGACTATCATAAATAAATAAAAATTTAAAAAAAATAATTTGATTTAACAAATATGATGCCATTTTTGTAACAGCATTAAACACCATTTTCCACGGTTCCTTGACATTATCTGAGAGGCATGTATGAATATAATATGCTAGCTATGAAGACTCCCAAGATGAGAAAGTAAAAAGATATTTCCACCATCCTGTAACTCAGGTTCTGTTTCTTCAGCAAGATAGTATTATACTTTATTTCAATGCCTAAAACAAAGTAAACATGAGGCAAGCTCTACCCAGAACTATTACCTAACTTCTTAGCCACAGAGTTCCCTGAATTAGCACAAAAGTTTTTATCATGTGATATCACATGTTGCTAATAAGAGCTCAAGTTCCAGTGTACATGGTGTAAAAGCAAATATTCAACATTCTGGCAAGTCCTGTCCAATCTACCAGTATTGTGTTACCTTCAGATAGTCACAGCGCAAATAATTGTGGAACATCCCCTGGGAGAAGAGTATGTTAATTCTCAAAGATGCTGGAAAATATAGTAGAAGCAGATTCCCCCCAGAAGAGAAGGAAAGCAAAGGGAGTCATAATATAACATAACAATAAAACAATAAATTAAAAGTTTTGTTATATTTTACTGTTAATTTTACTAATTTTTATTATATCCTTCATGAATTCCAAATTATTACATGTGAATTGAATATATTAAGTGCTATGTAGTATTGGAATAGTTTGGAGGAATGATGAAAACTTAGACAAGTCTTAGAAAGGTCCATTGTTTGGTATGCTGGAGAAAGATAAAGGACCTTTTAAAACAAAAGGCACTGATGTAGAGTTTCTAAGCCCAATTTTTAATGTGCATTTCTCAGCTTAATATGTCATTTCTTGCTCCTGCAAATTCTATCTTAGCTAATACATAATTTCAGTTGATATGTTGTTAATAACCCCACAGAATCATATCAGAAACAAAGGCACCTTAGGGGTATTGTTAAGCTACTCTGTTGACTTTAATGTAAGATTATTAATCTTTTCTTTGTCATTGTTCTACTTTCTAGAAAAGCAAGAAAAATAGTTTGTATCACTACCCTTTTTCTGTTGTCAAGCGAATTCTGCGTGGAAGGTGGGTGGTAAAAAGAAAGAAGTAAATTTCCAGGAGTACTTGCCCGGCTGAAAATCAAACCTAACATTGTGTGTCAGTACAACTGCTCTGACCTTAATGCTCTTAAAGAACCATGAACTTCAAGAAACCCTTACCTGAATCTAACTGAAGATTCTTTCCTGGCTCGTCACCAGTGGAACTTGTTTTGAACCCATTGAGCACAGACATGACTCATCTCTACTACATGGCTAGTTCTCAGTTCTTACTTATCACAACCAATGTGGACCATGCCCTTTCACTTGTTAGTACTTACCAAAAAAAGTCTGCTTTTCCTCCTTAGGAAATGACTCCATGAATTTCTTGTCTGGTGTATGTACTCTGCGTGGCAATTTACTCAATATTAACAACCAAATAAACAAGCAAAAAAGCATAACCTTTGTTGTATTCCTTGACAGTGGATAAAGGTAGTGGGCAGGCATAAATGGCAGCTTAAGGCTCAGAGGGAAAGATCATTGAAGATCACCTACCACATTTCTATTCTCCATCCCTTTATTCCTTTGTTTCTTGCCTTGTTCAACACTATTTCCTTTTTAAAATATACTTTAAAGAAATTAAAGATTAGTAATAAGTTGGTACAATAAATACAAGCAATAGAAATTGTGAGTGATAACTTTCCTATCAAAAAGCAAACCCTTCTCGAGATTATTTTCTTTTTACGTTTCTTGAGGAACCGCCATACTGTTTTCCATAGTGGTTGTACCAGTTAACATTCCCACCAGGATCACATCCTTTTTCTCCACGTTCTTGTCAGCATTCATTATTCTCTCATCTTTTGTAAATAGCCGTCCTAACAAGTAACAAGGTGCTATCTCATTGTGGTTTTCATTTTCACTTCCCTGATAATTAGTGATGCTGAGCACTTACTTCTTCATGTACTTCTTAGCCATTTGCACATCTTCTTTGGGAAAAAAAATGTCTATTCAGATCCTTGGCCCAATTTTTAAGACAGCAATTTATTTTTTTGCTATTGAGATGTATAAGTCCCTTGTATATTTTGTATAGTAACTCTTTGGGTATGTGGTTTACAAATATTTTCTCCCATTTCACTGGTTACATTTTTCATTTTGTTGATGGTTTCCTTTGCTGTGCAGAACTTTTTTAGTTTTATGTAGTCCCACTTATTATTGTTTTTGGATTGCTTGTGGTATCAAATACAAAAAATCATGGCCAAGACCAAAGCCAAGATAATCTGTATTCCATTTTTATTGTAGTATTATTTACAGTAGCACAATATTTACAATTCACTGGCTGTCTATCATCTATCTATCATCTATCACTCTATGTTATCATTGAATATTACTCAGCCTTAAAAAAAGAAGGAAATCTTGCCATTTGCAACAACATTGGATGAATAAACTGGAAGGCCTTATGCTGAGTGAAAAAGACAAAAAAGACAGAAACTGCATGGTATCACTTATATGAGGAATATTAAAAAAAAATAAAACTCATGGGGGCATGCTTGGGTGGCTCAGTTGGTTAGGTGTCCTACTGGATTTTGACTCAAGTCATGATCTCATGGGTCATGATCAAGCTCCAATTATGGCTTCATGTTCAGCAGGAAGTCTGCTTAAAGATTCTCTCCCTCTGCTCTCTCCTGGCTCGTGCTCTCTCTCAAGTCAACAGGTCTTTAAAAATCAAACTCCTGGAAACAGAGAGTAGAAAAGTGGTTGCCAGGAGTTGGAGAAAATAGGGAGAGGATGATAAAAGAGTACCAACTTTGAGGTATAGATGAATAAAGTCTGAGAGTCTGAGGATCCAAAGTATAATATGGTGACTATAGCTGATAATGCTGTCTTGTACAACTGAAATTTGCTAAAAGAACAGAACATAAATACTCTCTTGGCAACAACACCAAAGGGAAATATGTGAGGTAATGGATGTGTTAATTAACCTGTTGGGAGAAATCCTTTCACAATTTATATATATATATATATATATATATATATATATATATACACACACACACAATTTATATATATAATATATACATACACAATTTATATATATATAATATATATATATAATCATCACATTGTATACTTTAAATATATGACAGTTTTGTGAATTATGCCTCAATGAAGTGAAAAAAAAAAACTATTTCCTTAACTAGTAGTCTCACTTTAAATACTGCTCCTGCCCAGATCCTAGAAGGTCTTTGTTATTGTTGTTGCCATTTTTGTTCCCTTTTGACAGCTGTAATAGGTTTTCATCAATGCTCTGAAAGACAACCCTTTCGTGTCCTTGTCTCCTGCTCATTAAGATTTTACTTCATAAAGGAGAGAGAAAGAGTAAGGGTGTTGGTCAACTTATGTCATTCATCTGCAACAGCTGCTCTTCTCCTCCCAAGATTACACCATCTGGGAAGCATTTGCAGGAATCTCCCTAAATATGTGTGTGTGTGTATGTGTGTGTGTTGTGTGTGTGTGTGTGTCTTCAAACATTACTGTTTTAAGCAGGTTGTCTTTGAGATAACTTTCACAGCATGACCTAGAAGCCCTAGTGAAGAATTCTATCTAACTGGTCCTATGTTTCATTTACACTATACCGAGAAGAATTCAAAAGAAATGAAGAAAGAATGCTAAGGTCAATAAACTTCAGCTGGAATTCCAGCAGGGTGTATTCTTGTATTCATCGCTTTGAGTCCAATTCAATTCCAGGGTAATCAAAAGTTTGCCATGTGCCAGAGATCAAGAAGCTAGAGCTCTGAGTAGGATCAAGGTGAAGAAAGCTAAATAAACTCTCTTCTGTTCAATCATAATTTATGTAATAAAAGTATTTATTGTTTAAAAAATATGTTTGTATTATGCTTACAATTTTATCTTTTTAAAAATTTTATTTATTTCAGAGAGAGAGCACCCAAGCATGACTTGGGGGGCGGGGGCAGGGAGAGAGGAGAAGCAGACTTCCTGTTCAGCCAGGAGCCCGATGCAGGTCTCCATGTTCCAGGACCCTGGAATCCTGACCTGAGCTGAAGGCAGACGCTTAACCGACTGAACCACCCAGGTGCCCCAATTTTAAAGGTAGAGTAATTGAAACATAAAATTACTAGCTGTATGATCAAAGGGAAAGTTCTTAGACTATTCTGGAGGCAATAATTTCATTTATGATAAAGGTATGTTAATACATACCTATTAGGATTGTTGTTTGAATTAAACTTCTAATGAATATAAATAACTAATAATAACTCTAGGCATCTAGGAGGTCATCAACAAATGGTAATGTTATAATTGTACATATTATTATTAACATTACAGCAAGAAAGAAACACAATCAAAATTCATGCCCATATGGATCTGACTTAAGTATCCTCCATTTAAAAAAAAATTTACCCCCTGATGCTGCCTGAACTGGTGGATTGAAATGTGAAGTGTAGCAAATTATTGAACGAGCCCTAAGAACTGCTCCAGTAAACTGGGTGGCAACATAGAAAAAGCCAAGATTGTGCAGTGCAGAAGATATAGATAGAAGATATATAGAAAATATAGTAGAATAAAAGTGTGATGACCATTGAGAATCAAATTGTTTACTAATGATCATTTTAAAAATGTAGAAAAGAGATAATGCGTTCTGAGTGGAATTCTGTAAATTAGAGAAGTATAGCTTTACGAAGGTATGAAAATGTTTTTGTTGATTATTTTCCCACTGTCCACCGAGACCACACTCTGTCTTTTAGATAATGCACACTATGTAAGAATCAAGGCAGTCAGGCTTCCAAAAGCAAGCTGATAGGAAAAGTCACCTCTTCATCTGTGAGCAAATATCAAATACAGAGAAGCATGCTGTGTAGGGCAAATAGGTTAGAAAAGGACATTTTTCCCTTACATGGATCTAGAGAACTAAAACAGGAAATAAAAATAATAGCACATCAAAACATCATACACAACAGCATTGTAAAAATACGACATAAGAGCTTGCCTCTTATGTACTGGGTGATTTTTTTCTGATAATTTCACTCATATTCAAACAAATTTCACCCAGGCAGGAGACATGTATGACTTCCAATGTTGCAGCTATGAATAAGTTTCCAAAACAGTAATGGAAATGCTTCTAAAATTTAAATAATAACTAAGATCTAAGATCTTATTTTCTGTGACCCAAATAAGTGTTAATATTTAGCTCTGTTTCTAATAGCAAAATTAAGGCTTTTCTCACATGGTTAGTAAATGGTTGCAATTTGAGAGCTTATGATTCTCACCAATTCACTTCATATTACATATTTATTCAGCTTTTTAATTAATAGCTATCTTTCTTTCCAAGGATTCAAGAATCTGCTCAGGCACTTGAAATGTTATTGTGGATATTGTAAAAGATCTTAGAGAGAGGAAAACATAATGCAAATGGTTGCATTCACTCCCCTCAGTTTTCAACCCCATCTAGGAAAAACAGCTGATTCCGCGCAATCTGTTTATTCAGTTGCTCTCATTAGTTGTTGATGGACTAAAGGGATTTAATTTAATGAAGGCAATTTATTGCTGTAGAAAGACACAAAGCCAACCCTGACATAAATCTTGAATCATGCACATAAGCCATTCAAAATAAAGCAATTGTTAATATTGCAATGCAGTGCCTCAAACTGGCAGGGTCACTAGTTGCATGATGGGAAGCAGGAGAGAATCGGACTTGGAAGTGGACACATTGGCTACTTCCTTTATGGCCTGACCCACTTAACTGTAGGTCGGGAGCACAAAATAATGTTGGGGAACATAGACCCCACAGTTCTATCACGCCGCAACCTCCGAGTGCTGAGATTTTGAATGCTTGCACAAGGCTAATGAAATGGCTGATGTCATTACTTTTTTTTGTGATTTCCTCAGTATGACATTTTTAGTTTTGTGGTTTAGGAAACATTAGAAGTACCATAGGATTTAGGATATGAGTTAGCATCTATGCCTCACTGAAGAGAGCGTCAAAACAGGCTGAACTGTGATCCATGCACCCATACATTTACAGGAACCTCTATCATCTCTTACAAAGTACATGTCCTGTCATCCCTTTACAGCATACGTTGGTGTTCCATCATATACATATATCAAAATTTATTCACCAGGTGATGAATAGTTGTTTGGGTTTTGACCATAATGACTAAAACTCTTTTGAACACAAAAACAAGTATTTATGAGGATATATATTTTCATATTTTTTTGGAAATGGAATTTCTGGGTCATATAATAGGTTCTGTTTAACTTTATAAGAGATGGATAAACTGTACTAATGATTAACACTGCCAAATTTTTGTTCATGTGCTCATTGACCAATCGTGTATTTTCTTCAGTGAAGCAGCTGCTTGAATATTCCACCCATTTTTTCCTTGTATATTTTGCTTCTTGTTACAGAATTATAGAAGTCCTTTTTGTACTCTGGACTCAAGTTTATTATTACATATATATTTCTCAGATATGTTCTCTGAGTCTGTGGTTTGTCTTTTTATTCTCTATATCATGCCTTTCAAGAAGTAAAGGGTTTGAACTTTGATGAAGTCCAATGTATCTTTTTCTTATTTTTACTTTTTAGTTATTTATTTTTTAAAAGATTTTATTTATTTATGTGAGAGCGAGCACACAAGCAGGGGGAGCTGCAGGCAGAGGCAGAGGGAGAAGCAAGGAGCCTGACACAGAGCTCAATCCCAGGACCCTGGGATCATGACCTGGGTAAAAGGCAGATGCTTAACCGACTGAGCCACCCAGGTGCCCCACCCCCTGCTGTTTTAAATCTCTGGGGCCTTTTTTCTGTCCCAAGTCTCATCAAGGAAATCTTTGCCTAAAAATAGTTAACAAAAAATTTTTTCTTGTGTTTTCTTCTAAGAGTTTTAAAGCTTTAAGTTTTTGCATTTAGATGTGAATTACAAAGAAGAGATGAAAAAATGAAGTGCCTTAGACTGAGGAAAAAATCTCTCCTCCCACCTCCAAATGAGAAAATACACCCAAGAGGTGAACATTCTGTACATGAGTCATAGTGGATCATAGAATTTACTAAAATGAAGAGACTTAATAAAATGTGGACACTGCTCATTGGGAGGGTATGGTAAAGGGAAAAGAGAGAAGCCCTACAGAGACAAGGGAACAAAGTGAAACAGAAAAGAGAAAATTTGTAAATAGGTTCTAACTTTTCTTCTAACTAGTTGTTTTTTGTGCAAAATATAACAATTTTTACTTACTAATTTGCTAAACTGTCACCTTTCTGAATATCTATTATAATGGCTTGATTACCTTAAATTATCCAAGTCATTTGAAATAGTGATCATTTAAGTCCTTTCCAATTTTTTAGCTTTTAAATTTTATTTTCTTGCCTAATTGAGATAGATAGTATCTATCTAAAACAATGAAATATAGTAAAGGTGATAATGGATATTCATAATTTCTATATAATTTTAATAGAGATTAGCATGGGGCAAAATTTTATACGGCAAATATTTATCCATATAGATATCCTTCTATTACTCTATTATTACTCTATTAATAGAGTATTATTACTCTATTACTCTATTATTCTATTACTATCACATAAGGATTATTTAAATTTAAAAAGTGAATATTAATTTTATCTCTTTATGATGTTTAGAAATAAACATATGATTTTTCTCATTATTGCTAACAAAAATGTTGAATGATCCTTTCATTCCTGACATAAACACTTCTTAGTCATGAGGAATTTTTAAATGCTGGTATAATCCAAGTATTATAGAAATCATAAGTATCGATGGGAATGACCTAAAAAGACAGCATATTACAGTCAGTAGCCTACTTAACATTGAGATTATTGGAGTGGAATTTTTGTTTGTAAGAAAGTCCAAGACATGATAATAAGGGCAAATAGTTTATGCAGAATGGAGGACAAGATCACTAGGGGAAGCACAGTCAAGTAAGTCCATGTTGCTGGTTGTGTTACCCACATAGATTCTGAAATCCCCAATAGTAATATTGAAGTATTGACAATGAGCTGAAAGGTGAAATTTTTGAAGCATGAGAGCCAGTGACTCAGGGGTCAACAGTTGACTACAAAATGGAAGGGTAATTGGTGATACAGTCTGTTACTATAATTCAGGAAGCCAGAAGGAGACAGAACTGTCTGGCAGCAGCAATAATCAAGGAAGACATTTAGCACATGTTCAGCTACTAAGGTATGATGAATGTGGGAAGAATAGAGGAAGCATGGTCCTAAGTACTGCATCTCAGATGGAAGTTAATGCAAGATAAAAGCTTCAGGATGCTGCTCATGATGATCCATGAGTTCCAGAAAACAGAGTGGAAAAAGATGATAGAAATTGGGAAGAGACTGGGGAAAGGACAGAATCAGAGACAAGGAACGTCTTACAGAAATTAAGGTGTGGAATGAGGGTGATTGGAAGTGATGGCCAATGTAGAGAGGGGTAAAGAGCAATTAAAATAGCCAGTCCTGGCAACTTTGGATCCAAGAAACCACATGGTAAGGTAGGAACACCTATAATTATTTACCTTATTTTACAGCATAAAAAACAAAGTAGGTAGCTTTAATAATGTATATTGTGTCATAACTCATGTCCATGTTTAAATGAATCTTACAATTCCAAATTAAGACTATGTCCCCACCTAGTTATTAACATAGATTATTTTTATTGATCGGCAGGTGGTTTGAAAAAGGTAAAAGAATGAGACATAGAGATCCAAAAAAGAAAGAAAGAAAGAAAGAAAGAAAGAAAGAAAGAAAGAAAGAAAGAAAGAAAGAAAGAAAAGAAAGAAAAGAAAGAAAGAAAAGAAAAGAAAAGAAAGATGAAAAGGAAAGAAAAGAAAAGAAAGAAAAGAAAAGAAAGAAAAGAAAAAAGAAAAGAAAAGAAAGAAAAGAAAAAAGTCCTCTCCAACTGAGTATACAAATGACCCTATGATGCTCCACTGGAAATCATAGGTATGATTGATTTGTACACATATCTCACGTAATATATGACCCTAAACATGTCTGTTTTTCCACTTTACTTAAACCATTTGTTCCCATAGAATTTGTGGCTTGCCAATTGCCTATCCACTTCTCAGTTATGGTTTTACTTGAAAGAATACTAATTTTGTTCAGGAGGATGTGCCCAGGTTAAAAAATGACTCCTCAAGCAACCTTGACAGTGTCTACAAGAAATGTAGTTCTATAAAATGAGACATAAAATGAGAAATATATTGGCCAGGCTTCCAGGACTACTCTATAATTTTTCTTGATAGAAACAGAAATGAAAGTTTGTGGTTCTCCCATCCCACAACCAAAACCTCTTTCTGCCTGATAATAGTTGAGCAGAAAGGTAAAGACTTGATTTCTGGTGGCTTTGAGAAACCACCATATTACTCCTAGGCTGAATTCTTCAATGCTTCCACAAGATCATCAAGATTGATAATTACAGTCACTACAATTTATTCTTCATGGTCTAGAGTGTAGACTAAATGTTTGTGTCCTTCTAAATGTCATAGTTGAACAGAAAGGTGTAGGGTATAGACTAAATGTTTGTGTTCTCCTAAGTTTCTTTTATTTCTTTTATTTGTTTTTATTATCCTCCTAAGTTTCATAGTTGGTCATAGTATATACTATAGTTCATGGTCTAGGGTATAGACTAAATGTTTGTATCCTCCTAAATCTCTTACATTAAAACCTACCCTCCCGTGTGGTGCCTCTGAGAGATAATTAGGAATAGGTGAACCCATAAGGAGTCAGTGCTTTTATATGAATCATGAGAAAGCTTGCTTCCCCTCTCTGCTTTCTGCCAAGTGAGGATACAGTGAGAAGCTAACATCTGCAATCCAGAAGACTCACACCAAAACCTGACCATGCTGACAACCATGCTGAGCATCCAGAATATTAAGAATACATTTCTATCGTTTATAAGCCACCCATTCTATGGTATTATGTTACAGCGATCCACACTAAGACAGCTCAAGAACACAACTTAATTTCAGGTTGCCTTCTACTATGCCCACATGGACATAAGAACTTTTAGAAATTCAAATTTTTCTATTTGGTTTTATTATTTCTCCCATATTTCAAGCTTCGTTAACCACTACTACCTTGTGGAGCTATTGTCTCCTACCTCAGTGTCCCTAATTTTTATAAGTATGGAGATGCTTTTCCCCAAAGTGCCTAAAAGATCATTGGCATTAAATTTGGTAACTAGCACAGGAAAAGGCTTGTATTAAGAAATGATTTTTGTAGTGATAGACAAATGGCATCATATTGAGGCAAATACTTTGAAAGACAATTGGCACATAATTCATATTAATGCCTACAAAACAGCATTGCAAGCCTCTAAATCCATGCCAGGTGAAGCTCTGGAATTTCACGAGCTAAATGTGTTTAAAACTTTCTTCTCAATAGTAATACTGTAGGCAATTTAAAAACCAGGGCTGTGAATTACAGCTATAAGAAATGAATAACAGAAGCAGAAAAAAATATACAGGAAAGTAGATATTTTCTAAAGTACAGAAGTGAGTAAACAGCATTTGGGACAAGAAATAAAGAATCCTCTGATTTAAAAAACTAAACCACATGATGGCTATGAAGACTTAGAAAAGTCACAGATGATAAAAATCAACCCAAACATAACCCTTTGATTCTCACTAGTTTGTTTCCTATTTGAAGTTTACATACTTTTATGAACCCCTTCCTCAGATTTTTACTATAGATTTTCACTTAGCCAGTTCATATACTGATTTTCTAGTCTATCCGCAATTTTAAATCCAGAAAAGGAAAATGCTCCATGGAATCCATCTTCAATATGGTTATGGGTCACCTGAACCCCGGCATTCTGAAGTCGGGTGACATACATAATTCCATCATCTCTTAAGACATCATATTGACAGGTGATGACATAGGTCAAGGGTAAACTTCGCAGTTTGTTGTCATCAGCCAACAAGGGGGCTGCTCTCACATCTAGAAACCCCGGATATTTTTTAGCCAGCTCAGAACTACCATAAGTAGGACTTTTATAAAAGTATCCTTTCTTAAACTTCTCAGGGAGCAAGGAACTCCAATTAATAAATTTGTACAGATGGCTTGATTCCACTGGTACATGTTGATTGGAGAACATAGCTTTTACAAGAGATTCGTCCACGGTAAAGTATTCACTCCAGAACCTGACCATCAATGATTTGGGCAGAGTTGGAAAATGTGAATTTTCCCGATATGATGGTAAATCCATATCAAGAGTCTGAAGGGCAGGATAAATTAAACACTGGGTCTTGAGGTTGATCTCCACATCTGGGTCGTCTATGAGCTGAAAATAATTTAAATGAGTTGCTCAAATAGTAGTTTTCATTTAAAAAATATTTTTATTTAAAAACAATAGATTGATATAAGTCCAAAATCTCAAAAAGATAATCAGAAACAACAAAAATATATCTCAAAGAACTTTCTAATTTTCAGTATTATATTGAATATTAGATATGTGTCTATACTTAAATCCTATGAATATAAACAAACTGATTTGTACGATTTTCCCCATAGATGGAGAAAGAGACCATCTAATGTGTGATTAAAATGCAAAATATCTACTCTGACAACTAGGAATGGCAATCAGAGGAAACATTTTTTGTAAGTAAAAAAAAAATATGTACATATATTATTATATCAACAGGCATTAACACTTAAAGGAAAAATCACATAATTAGGAACTCCAATTTGGCTCTGATACTAAACAGATAAATCCTGGGCAAAAGTCTAATTCATTTTAATATTTATGTCTTTAAATATTCAAACTACATTAGTGAATTAACATATTTATCTATAATATGCATATATTTGGGGAAACTAGAAGTTTTTTATTAATAGGATACATGACCAAAAATATCTGGAGATCAGTAATCTTGAGGATTACAGTCTAGCAGATGTTTTTATGTACATTATTTGGTCTTACAACATTGGAATGGCCCATTGTGTCTCATAGGTTAACTAATTCCTCAAGTGTGACCCCTGGACCACTAGCATCTGCATCACCTGAGGATTTATTAGAAATTCAAATTCTTGGGTCCTCAACCAGATTTACTAAGTCAGATAGGGAGGAACCAGCAATTTGTGTTTTAACAAGTCTTTCATGTTATTCTCATGCTTGCAAAAACTTGAGATCTGCTAGCATAGGTCACGAATAGTAATTATCAAAGCTGTAGGTACTCTGATGCTTCTCAGAGTAAAGTATAATGTCCAAATTGAAGTCTATTTCTAAAAACTTAATGTAGAGTTCAAGAAGGAGAGCATTCTGACATTTTTTTCCTTTGGTATACATTGTACACACACACACATACACACACACTAGCAAAAGCAAATGGCAGCTCTGCGTATTTATTTTATTGCATTTAAAGCACAGCTAGTAATTAGATCTAGTTACTAAAATAAAATATGTATAAATCCATTACCAGATTGTTTTATGTAAAAATAACCATTTTATGTTGAAGAAAAAGTAAGGAATTTAAATCATTTCAGTGTTTTGTCTCATGTAAGACTACCACATTCCATTTAGCTCAATATCTTTTTTTTTAATATCTAGTATGAAGAACACTGTTTACATTAGTAGAAGTGTGGTAATAAATAAGGGGGCTGATTTTAGATTGAGTTAAGAAGAAATACAAAAATATTTTATATTTGACCAATAAATTCAACTCAACAGGTAGCTAAAATCTTTGAACATATAGATTTTAAAACACTATCTTTATAGCTAATACACATAAAATCAAGTATAGAACTTCATAATAAATATAAATGTAACTATGTTTAAGGGTCAAGAGTTTCCCATACACCCCGAACTGACCACACATCCTTCTTCCTCCCCATCCTTCATTCTTTGGAATTCAACATTGTATACTTCTTTAAAATTATATCATTTAATCAAAGTAGTTTATCTGATTAAGGACATTCCATCGATTCTTAGTGAACCAATGATTATTATTGCGAATTTTACTAAATCTTTTTCTGCAAGATGATCTATGATTCTGCTTCCTTTATCTATTAATGTGATAAAATTCACTTATTATTGTGTCTGTTTTGCAAGTTATATTTTTATAACTTGTTATATTTTTCTCAGAATTTTTCAATTGAATTTAAATATTATTAGATATTTTTTAACTTCAAGAAGTTTTTCAAAATGTCTTTCAAAGACTACAATGTTCACTCATCAAAGACAAATTATTTTTCATATTGAAGGCTCTGCAGTATTGTCCCTTTATCAATCCTGATATTAATTACTTATGCCTGATTTTGCTTTTCCTTTTTTGTCTTTCCAGAGATTTAGAAATTTTATTAGTCCTTTTAAAGAATTAACTTTTTGCTTTTTGTTCATATTTCTTATAAGCCTTGGTTTTGAATATCATAATTTCTGTTCTTGCCATTATTATTATCTTCCTTCTATTTTTTTTTCTTGAGTCAGATGCTTATTTCAGCCTTCCTTTCCAATATATGCTTTTGAGGAAATACAATTTCCTAAAAGTATTGTTCTAAATGTGGGGAGCATATACAAGATATATATTCTATTAAATAGTGACCCATAAGTACTTAATGTATTTTTTAAATTTCCATACAAAGAAGGGTATTTTCTTATTTGCTTTTTCTTGTTGATTTCCCAATCATTGCATTGTGGTTAAGAGTCCAAATGTGTGATTTAAATTCTGTGATTTTTTTTTTGAGACTTGCTTTATGGACCAGTATTTGGCCAATTTTTTAATATGATCACATGTACTTGCTTGTTTCCCTATTTTTTACAGACCCATCAAATTAAATGTACTGATCACTATTCGAGTCCTGTATACCCTTATTATTATTTTTGCCTGCTGTCTTAATTACTGAAAGAGGTAATTTAAAACCTCTCATTGTGATTTTGAACATTTGTGTTTTTCCCTGTAGCTCTAGTATTTTCTTCATACATTTAAGGCCATATTATTAAATCCATACAGATTTAGAGTTGTCATACTTTCTTGGTGTTTTAACCTTTTCTTTAATGATATGATCTTATTAATATAGTAGTAATTCTTTTAGATGTTACTTTAGGTAACATCCATATATTTTCCATACATTTACTTTCAAATTTTCTGCTTACTCATATTTCTAATCTGACAAACTTGATCTTACAACCAGATTATTTAGACTACTAATATTTACTCTAATTACTAAAACAGTTGATTTTGTTCTACCTTATTTTGTGAATTTTCCTTCTTTTCTCTTTTCTCTAGTTTTAACTTAGATGAGTTGACATTTAAATTATTCTATTTTTTTCCTTTTATAGTTTATAAGTTTTACCCTATTTCTATTCTTTAAATGATTACCCTAAGAATTATATTGTGTATTTGTAACCTCTCAAAAACAAATGAAATTATTAAAGGACAATCTAAATCTTTACTTCTTCTTAGATAATAAAAGGAGCTGGTAAGACTTAAAATCTGCCCTCCCCTCCACTCTTGAACTGATTATTTGTCTTTCTTATATCTTACTATTTTAAACTCTCCAGGTTTAAGATTTATCCACATTGTAAGGGATCCCTGGGTGGCGCAGTGGTTTAGCGCCTGCCTTTGGCCCAGGGCGCGATCCTGGAAACCCGGAATCGAGTCCCACATCGGGCTCCCGGTGCATGGAGCCTGCTTCTTCCTCTGCCTGTGTCTCTGCCTCTCTCTCTCTCTCTCTGTGTGACTATCATAAATAAATAAAAAAAAAATACTATCCACATTGTAACCACATTCTTGCTCTTTGTTCCTTCCTCTATTGTTAACTTTTATCTGCATTTTCATTTTGTCTGAAGTTATTTAAACCACCTTTTAGTGTGTTCCATTTATAGCAGGTCTCTTAGTCTTGGTTTACCTGAATATGCCTTTTCTCTTTATTTGTATGTAATATTTTTGTGCATCAAAGGATTTGGTTGCCAGTAATTTTTGTGCTCTTCTTTGATAACATTCCACTGACTTAAAAATTACATTCTCACTACTGAGAAGTAAGCTGCCAGTATGACTTGCACTGCTGTGAAGGTACTCTTTCTTCTCTAAGATTTTCTCTATTTCATTTTTTCCCCAGATTTAAAACAATTTTTAAAGTAATCTCTACACCCAACATACAACACCAAGATCAAGAGTTGCATGCCTTACCAACTGAGCCAGTCAGGCACCCCTCTATTTCTTTCTGTTTTATTTTGTGTTGGTGGTTATCTAAACTTTTACTTTGCAGTATCTATATATAGATTTCTCTCTAGCTACTTATTTATTTTTAATCTTTTAAAAAATGTGTCTAAGGTTCATGAGCTTCTTTTATCTGTATCTTGATATCTTTCATCAGCTCTGCAAAATGCCCTATTATATTTTCAAATATTCCTTTCTCCCATTCTTTCCCCTCTCTTCTAGCATGATATTTAAAAGTCTATTGGATTTTCATACTGTGTCTGCTATATTTCTTCTCTTTTCTGTATTTTCTTTATTTTTGGGGTTTCCATGCTTCATTTTGCATAGTCACCTATGAGTCATATGACCCATCTTTCAGCTTATAAATGATTTCTTCAGCTATGTAAAATCACTTAAACAATTCATAAAGTGTTTATTTTGATAATTTTATTTTTTAGTTTTGGCATTTTTATTTGTTTTTCAAAACTACTTTTCTGCTGAAATTTGCAATTATGGTTGTGAATTAATTGAAGAAACTAGGATAATTATTTATATTCTGTGGCTGATAACTGCAGTATCTGAATTTTCTAAAATGTCTATCTGTTGTCTGTTAATTCTGCATGCTTTCCTTCATGGTTTCTTGTTTACTTGTTTTCCTCGATATGTTTTATTCTGTGTGGGATACTGAATTCCAAAAATATTTGCAGGAATAATTTGAAGTCCATAACGAAACCATATTTCTCCAGTGAGAAGTTTTATACATTTCTGTCAAGTATACTTGAATATTAACTTTTCACACCAACTTAAGTTCAAGGATTGAGATTTCTCCAAACCATCCAGGTGATGTGAAGCAAGGTTTCAAATGAGTATGGGGCTTGTTTTACATCACATTCACCCCAACAGTGAGACTGTATCTCTTCAGGACCTCACTTAAAGTCAGGAGTACTTCATAATTGTCCCCATTTTTTGGAAGCCCAGGAACTTGACTTCAATCTCTAGCTAATCTTAGTCAAACAGTTTTTGTTTTTTTGATAGATATATCCCATTAGAGCAGAGAGGACATCATGTACTAGAGTTATCTTTGTGTGTGTGTTTTTTTGTGTGTGTGTCTTTAAAAAACTTTTTGGCCTAGAACCTTATTAGCAGTTTAATGCTTCTCAGATTAGCACAAGATATTTTAACTAGATTTTTCATAATTATGGGTCAGAATTCATTGGTTCACCACTATAGAAGCCTGAACTCCACAAGAGGAAGGGATTACTATGCAACGCAATAAAAAGGAACTGATGCTTGAAAAGATTAGGTAGCTTGTCCAAGGTCACAGAGCTAGACATTTCTTTAGCTCCAAAACTACATGTCTCCTTGTGTTTCCCTTGTGCTGCATCAAGATGCCTCTCAGGGTGACAATCATAGACAATATAGAAGTAGCAGATATCTGTTCTGTAGTATATTTATAACAAAACACAAAATTTATATCTTTTCTTTGGCTATAAATCATGAGAAGGTATTTCTGAAGGTATCAATAGCCAAAATTTATATGCTTTAAAATACGTGTAAAAAAATGAATAATACAATCAACAAAATAAACAGCAAGGTTTGTTTGCAAAATAAATTAATATGCAATATTTATGATTAGAGTTAGTTATTAAATTGCAGACATTCATTTATAAATCTACAAGGAATTCTTTTTTCAGACAAGAACATTGCTTCTAAGCCATCAGAGCCTGGTTTATTTCTTAGGTCAGATAACCAGCATCAAAAACACTCTCACTCATTACTAAACTAATCATGATCATATATCACTTTAAATTGATAGCTAATTCTCCAGTTTTAGCTAAATGTCTTAATAATAGTGTAATGGTTGATATCTGAAAGTTATAATTCCTTCTGCAAGGAAAGTATCTATAAACCCACTATCATTTTTTGCTTATAGGCAAATTGAGTATTCTGATAATAATAGTTTTCATGTAAATTTTAGTATATTCCATGAAAGATACTGGAATAATCTGATTCTGTAGCTATGGCGACTGGTATCATTGATTGATTTCAGAAATACCAGCCCTAATAAAACTAAATAGTGTAGCACTTAGCTGACCATATTAATTATGTTTAAACCAATGATCTAGGAAGAGTACTTTATCATCTTATTTTTAAAAATCTGGCAGAAGGTATGGGCACCTGGGTGGCACTGTCATTTAAGCATCCAACTCTTGGTTTTGGCTCAGATTGTGATCTCAGGGTCGGAATCCTAGGGTCATGAGATTGAGTGTCACATCAGGCCCTACACTCAGTGCAGAGTCAGCTTAACACTCTCTCTCCCTTGAGATGCCTGGGTGGCTCAGTGGTTGAGCATCTGCCATAGGCTCAGGTCCTGATCATAGGGCCCTGGCTGGGATCGAGTCCCCCACCGGGCTCCCTGCATGGAGCCTGCTTCTCCCTCTGCCTGTATCTCTGCCTCTCTCTCTCTCTCTCTCTCTGTCTCTCATGAATAAATAAATAAAATCTAAAAAAAAAAAAAAGACTCTGTCTCCCTCTCCCTCTGTTCCTACTTCACACACACCCCCAACAAATGCCCTCTCTCAAATAAATAAATCAATCTTAAAAAAGAAATCTGCAGAAAGTAGAAATAGAAGCACTCAGGATATAAATGTTCTTTAATACTTATCTTTATGTATCTCTGATTTCTAACATATGAATATAACATAAGTGCTTTGATATTTTAATGTTTGAAATAAATATTTAAGTGTAAAATATTTTTTAAAAGGAGCAAATCTAAGCAACGTACCTGTTGAGCCACTGCTGCCGCCAAATTCCCTCCAGCACTGTCTCCAGAAATACCAATTCTTTCAGGATCCACACCATATTTATCAAGAACATCTTGGCGCAAGAACCACTTTAATGCATTATATACATCTTCAAACTGATTTGGGAAGTGATATTTAGGTGCTAGTCTGTAGCTGTAAGCAGAATAACAATATTCTTTAGCAATTTCTTTATTGCTAAAAAATAGTCAATTATTTTTCATTGAAAAATGTGCATCTGTGTGTAGGAGGGGGCATACTCTAACCATAAAACCTAAAGTAAAATAATTTTCTTTAGCAAACCTGATATTTACGGTCATTTTGAATCCAAAGACAAACTTCATTCTTATGATAATGCTTGATATGAAAGCTTTTACAACTTTTTACATATTGATACAAGTAATGGTTTGAATCTAAAACTTGGATTAGATTTAAGAAAAAAAAAAGTGATCACTTCTCTTAAGCTTTTACCAGAATGGTAAAAGCTTTGTAATCATTATGCTTTATTACTAACCAATAAATAGCAAACAAAGCTTAGGAATTATTCTATTTCAACTTAATCTAATAATCAAGTTGACATGCAGTCACTCTTATGGGATTTTTTTTCATAGTTTCTTCATTTTTCTATTTATTCCATTGGGTTTGTTTTCTATTATTAATTATTGATCTAAAATGTTTCTTGAGGGCAGTCTGGGTGCTCAGCAGTTTAGCGCCACCTTCAGCCCAGGGCCTGATCCTGGAGTCCTGGGATCGAGTCCCACATTGGGATCCCTGCATGGAACCTGCTTCTCCCTCTGCCTGTGTCTCTGCCTCTCTCTCTCTCTCTCTCTGTGTCTCTCATGAATAAATATTTAAAAAATAATAATAATAATAAATAAAATGTTTCTTGAGAATAGATTTGCTTGTATTCCTGTATGTTATTTGCTGACTAACTTCATTTAATGGAGGATTATATCATGAAATACACTATGTTAATTGTTTTAAACGCATTTTATCACCTAATTTTTAAAATAACTCTATGATATAGAAAATATTATACGACTCCCAGTTTACATCTGAGAAAACTAAGCTAAAACGATATTTAGCGGCCACAGTCATCCAATTAATTCTAGAACCAGGCTTTGAACCTGATTCTCTGACTCCAAAGCTCCCATCTTACTCACTTTGCTAGTTAAGAGTAGGCTAGGGGTGCCTGGCTGGTTCTGTCAGTGAAGCCTCTGACTCTTGATCTCAGGGTTGTGAGTTCAAGCCCCATGTGGAGCCTCTTAAAAAAAAAAAAAGAGTAGGCTAGAAGTCCAACAGAGGTCAACAGAGGTTAATTTTATTGTAACAATTTTTTGACTTCCTGTTTTTGAGCCCTGTTTGACCGAACTATGTAACTCTTTTCTCTCTTACTCGTTTCTGGTCATGCCAAGATCACTTTAGCCTCATCTTCTCAATTTCTTTGTAACACTCCCAGCATAACCAAAGAACAACCAAGACAGCTGAGAGCATCTCACTATATAAGGTATCTGGCTCAAACTCAAACAAATCAACAGTGCTCCTTACTTGGTTGAAATGACAACAGCATCAAGTCTATCAGCTGTCCGTCTTGACAGAGAGTCATAACCAAAAGAAGCTGAAATAAAGGAGAATAAAATGAGAATATGACAAATGAATTGGTGAGTGTTTCCATCAACAGAAAGCTTATCACTATACCTTATTTCTCACTGAAATGTTCTGGGAAAATTTTTTTAAGATTTCATCATAGCTATAGAACATGAATTCTTCTGCTCAGGGATCCTTTTACTCTGTCGTCAGCTTTCTTGTCCTTCCCCACACATTAGGTGTTGAAAGAATAAACACATGCATATTAAAGCCCTGACTTCCAGTAAGTCACAATCTACTAGGGACAGGGGTAGGGAGGGGCAAGCATATAAACAAAAAGCAACCATGCAAAATTTTAGTGTTTTTTTTTTTTTAATTCGATTTGCCAACATATTGGCAGTGCTCATCCCATCAATTTTAGTGTTTTAATGGAGAGGTACACAAAGGGTTGTGTGGAAATAGCACTAGACTTTATTAAAACTGCTCCCAAGAGGGGCACCTGGGTGGCTCAGTCAGTTAACTCCCTGTCTTCAGCTAAGGTCAGGCTCCCTGCATCAGGCTCCCTGCTGAGCCTGCTTACTCTGCTCCCCCTGCTTGTGCTCTCTGGCTCTCTTTCTTTCTCTGTCAAATAAATAAATAAAATCTTAAAAAAAAATTAAGAAACTGCCAGAGAAAGATAAAGAAAAGACGAAGTAGGGAAAGCTAAAACCTGATTTATATATTCATATGTTCTAGGCAGACAAAAAGAAAAATGTGTTTTCTGGGTTTTTTTTTTTTTTTTTTTTTTTTTTTTTTTGGCCATGTGTATAGAGTCGGGATGAGTCACACATGTTTGCTATTGGGCTTGGGCAAGTGCTTCCTTTCGCAGATAAGAAAATTGTAAGAAGACAAAATGGAATTTGCCAGTAATGGCAGGAGGGCCAAATCGTAAAGTGTTATGGGGGAAATCTCAGAATATATAGTTGTCACAAGCATTAAATCATGTGGACCATGAAGAGTAGATACTATCTTGAAATGATTTCTGAAGTCAGGTGCTGAATATTCCTAAAATATCACATACATACTAAGTTGTAAGCTTTTATTTAACATTTGCTGTAAAAAGTCATTCTTCTATTTGGGATTAGAATATACATTTTCATGTCTTTTTAATAAACATATAAAAATCAGGAAAATACCATTTTGTTTCAGAGCTCATTCTTATTTAGTTCCTTTATCCTGATAAGCTTATTCCCATTCTTCAGTAATACTTTGATGAAGAGATTTTTAAGGAAGTGCTTTGGGCAGCAGGGACTCATGGAAACCAGCTGAGGCAAAGCATAGTCAAATTTTGCCTTAGAAACCTCACTTCATCGCCAGCTAATGACTTCACTGCCTGTATTTATAGAAAGTGACAGACAGGATCACACCCCTTACTACTCTGATTTACATTTCCAGTCTACATCAATACCATCAACATCTCTTTTCCTCCTGTCACAGAGAAAGTGCTCCTCCTTCTATGTTTTGTTAGTACTTCTCCTCCGAACAAAGTCCAGTTTCTTCTCATATCCCCAAGATCATGCAAACCTCATTCCGTCCCCCAGCTAACTCCCATTCTTCCAACATACTTCTATTAACTGCCATCTTTACCTTCAGCTTATAGCCTCGGTGTCCATCCAAAGATGAATGGATAAAGAAGATGTGGTTTATGTATACAATGGAATATTACTCAGCCATTAGAAATGACAAATACCCACCATTTGCTTCGACGTGGATGGAACTGGAGGGTATTAAGCTGAGTGAAATGAGTCAATCGGAGGAGGACAAACATTATATGTTCTCATTCATTTGGGGAATATAAATAATAGTGAAAGGGAATAGAAGGGAAGGTAGAAAAAATGGGTAGGAAATATCAGAAAGGGAGACAGAACATGAAAGACTCCTAACTCTGGGAAACGAACTAGGGGTGGTGGAAGGGGAGGAGGACGGGGGGTGGGGGTGAATGGGTGACGGGCACTGAGGGGGCACTTGACAGGATGAGCACTGGATGTTATTCTGTATGTTGGCAAGTTGAATACCAATAAAAAATAAATTTATTATAAAAAATATAAAATAAATCTGCTCATAGATCTTTCATATGTAAATATAAAATGCATATAATATAAAAATGTACTTACACATAAAATAAGGTATAAACTTTTATATAAAGGAACATTATATACACTAAAATATATATTTCATGGATTTATGTAAACATTAAAATGCATAAAATAAACTAAAATATCAATTTCTTTATATCAAATAAAGATAAAATACCCTTACTCAAGGGTATTTTGGCTGCTTTTCCATCTAGCACCTTTTTCATTTCTTTCTTGTCTAAGCTGAATGAAAGACTAGAATCATCATCTCCATTTCCTCATTTCATATCCACTAATCCATGTACTTCATTTTTGTTTTCATCATAACATTCCATCATTTCTGCAATTAACAAGTTAAATAATAAATGCTTAAGAGACACTTTTCCTTCTGGCCCGAGATTTGCTATAGCAAATCGTTATTCTCTTTCAGAAAGAGATCTGAAATAATTCCTTTAAACTAACATAGATCCAAAGAAAGGAATTTCAGACAGCCTAAGTGTTATATTATCTAGGATGTTTAACAAATATACCTTCCTGATATGCTGAAGTCAACATCTTAATAAAATATATGCTATATGGGGATGCCTGGGTGGCTCAGCAGTTGAGTCCCTGCCTTTGGCCCAGGGCATGATCCTGGAATCCCAGGATCAAGTCCCACATCAGGCTCCCTGCATGGAGCCTGCTTCTCCCTCTGCCTGTGTGTCTGCTTCTCTCTCTAGGTCTCTCATGAATAAACAAACAAAATCTTTATACATATGTATATATACATATACATATATATATATATATACACACATATACATATACATATATATACACACACACACACTATACAATAAATTAAGATTTTCAACAAAGGGCACATACCAGCACTCCCCAGACACCAACCACCACCATGAACATAAAATAAACCCCTTCTTAGTCTCTCTGGCTTTCGTTTTGGTACGTATACACGGACAGGAACATTGTTGAAAGTTGTCTCCATCACAGTGACATTTTCATCAGATGTGGGTGGAGCTTCTTGAAGGTTCATAAAGAACATAAAAATGTTCGTGAAATGGTTGACTCCCAGTAGTTCAGCAAACAGACTCTAAAGAGGTGGGGGGGGGACACCAGGTTACAAACATCAAAGGTCAATGTTGTTTACAGACATAGAAGTATGTTGCATGCTCCCAATGGTCCTGTGTCAGATTGTCACAGGTGAATCTGCATGACACAATTAGAAATACTGGAGATTCAGACTTTTTACCACAATAGTTGCCTCAGATTAAAAAAAAAAAAGTAAAGAATTATTGAGGTATTACAACTTGGAAGGTTCTATGCTTCCTACTTTGAGTGCAAAGACAAACAGGGTATGTTCCCTACTCTAAATAAGCTCAGCCAAGTGGGAGAAATGATATATAAGCAGTCACGAAGTAACATAACTGCACGTATCATAAACATGTACAATGAACTTTGGCAAAGGTCAATAGGAAGATAAACTAGTTGCCTGGACATGAGACCTGGGGAGAAGTTTTCAAATAGTAGGTGAACTCTGATATGCAAGAGTTTGGCCAAATAAAGGAGGAAATCTCACTTTGGGCCAAATTTAAAGATTCCTACTGAAATTGGAGAAATGCAGGTAGCTTAGTAAAGCTATTAAGTCAGGTCCACCCAAGGATGCATAAAAGACAAGGGACCCCAAGAGGTGAGTGTGAGCCAAACCATGAAGAATCTATCATGTTGGAATTCCAAGAATCAAAAGATTTGTTTTCCAATCCTAAAGTGGAAACATGTGGACTATGGTCCTAGGAGATCGATTAAAGAGTTGGGTCAACCCCTTTCCCATCATATGAAGATAAAATAGGTACAAAAGGAATAAGCAAAATTATCTGTTTTCAACACTGAACCATCTCCACCTTGTCTGTAAAAGGCATGTCAGGGAAATACATTTCCCAGACCTCCATGTCAGGTGAAATTATGCCACGAAGAGGCACTCCTACGAGACTATGAGAGCAGAAATAAAGAAAAAGCCATTATTTTCTCTGAGCCCCTGTGGGTATTTATATGCATACTGACAATTACGTGGCTTTCCATGCCTCTGGTTGTTCTGAAAATTACCAGTTCAGTGCTGCAAGGTTGTATATCTCACATTCCATAATCTCAATCTATTTCTACTGATTATATATATATATATATATATATATATATATATATATATATTCTAACACAATGATAATTGGTAGAGAATATAGTCTAGAAGGAGAGTTCTCAGAAAGGAGAACATTTAAGACATGTGCTGTAATTAGATAAGGACCTGGTTAGCTTTAAAGATACTAAATGGGGACTCCTGGGTGGCTCAGTCGTTGAGCTTCTGCCTTCGGCTCAGGTTGTGATCCTGGGGTCCCAGATCCAGTTCTGCATCAGGCTCCCTCCAAGGACCCTGCTTCTCCCTATGTATCTGCCTCTCTCTCTCTGGATCTCTCATGAATAAATAAACAAATAAAATCTTTTAAAGATACTAAATGGTCTCATTGCCAATGTAAAATAGGACCAGTTAATGAACAAAATGTAGTAGCAAAATAGTTATTAAATGAATATCTGTAACAGTTCCTATTAAAGGAGAGTTTTGAGAGACCAAGTAGCTGTTGCAATAAAATGTTGTAAAGAAAATAAGTCAGGGATCCCTGGGTGGCGCAGCGGTTTGGCGCCTGCCTTTGGCTCAGGGCTCGATCCTGGAGACCCGGGATCAAATCCCACATCGGGCTCCCGGTGCATGGAGCCTGCTTCTCCCTCTGCCTGTGTCTCTGCCTCCCTCTCTCTCTCTCTCTCTCTCTCTCTGTGTGACTATCATAAATAAATAATTTAAAAAAAAAGAAAATAAGTCAATTGGAGAAGGACAAACATTATATGGTCTCATTCATTTGGAGAATATAAAAAAAAATAGTGAAAGGGAATAAAGGGGAAAGGAGAGAAAATGAGTGGGAAATATCAGAAAGGGAGACAGAACATGAGAGACTCCTAACTCTGGGAAACGAACTAGGGGTGGTGGAAGGGGAGGGGGTGGGGGGTGGAGGTGACTGGGTGGCGGGCACTGAGGGGGGCACTTGACAGGATGAGCACTGGGTGTTATTCTATATGTTGGCAAATTGAGCACCAATAAAAAATAAATTTATAAATAAAAAAAGAAAATAATGAGTTCAAGCACTGACTGAACAACAAAATATCATATATCATTAAATATAATGACCAAAGAAATTATTAAAATTAAAAAAAATTTAAATTATAGGCATTGTGAAATAGCTGTGAATTACACTGATAATAATCCATTTCTAATTTTCTAATTCATGTATTGAAGGTCATTTCCAGTAATTATCCTGTTTTATTTAGTCTAATGTTGCAGTAGAATTTGATCCAAAATCAATAATGTTATGATATTGTGGAATTGTTATTAGATTTTCCTGAAGTTAAAAAGTTAGTTTTAAAAAAGTCAGTTATGGGATCTCTGGGTGGGGCAGCGGTTTGGCGCCTGCCTTTGGCCCAGGGCGCAATCCTGGAGATCCGGGATCGAATCCCATGTCGGGCTCCTGGTGCATGGAGCCTGCTTCTCCCTCTGCCTATGTCTCTGCGCCTCTCTCTCTCTATCATAAATAAATAAAAATTAAAAAAATTAAAAAAAATAAAAAAGTCAGTTATAATCAAAAGAAAGGATAAAAGACATCATGCAATCAACTAACAGATTGATGATAGATTGATAAATACTAACAGCTTCATAATACATATATTCACATGTATATAAGGTATTATATGTATTTATATAGATCTTATTAATATCTATGTGTAATCCAAGTCCAAATCTATATTCATGTGCATATCCCTAGCTCTATCTGTATCTATCTCTATAAAACTAACAGGTATTTTTACAGAAATTCGACTTGAACATGATTCGCAATATTTATTTTATTCAGTATTGCCAACGTTCAGCTGGAAACTTTTTTCATGCAATTGTATCCAGCTGTAAAATTGCAAACATCCAGTGATACCAAAGGCAATTGAATGGAGATAGATATAAATGACACTATACTTATTGTTTTTTAATTTTTGCCAGATTTGTGCTTGTACCCATTCGATTCTTACTAAGACCTGGTATGTAGTACTATATCCCCAGATATTCAGTTGAGTACACTGAGGTAGGGGAGGTTAAAAGATCTGTTCACGTCCACCCAGGCAATAAGTGCTGGATATGGGACTCAAGCCCAAGTCTGACTCTGGAGTCGGGTGTCACTCATGATTAGCTAATATTCTGTCCCTTAGTGAGCATCATTACAAAAGGGCCATTGAAGACAGAGGGTGACAGCAGATGTAGCCCTCCAAGATCCCTCAGTATTCATGGAACTTTTCATGGTATAAGAAACTGGGCAGAAACTTAACTCTCTGGTCACCTTGGGTCTGGCCCATCACAAAACATATACACTTCCAACAAACGACTGCCCTCATGTTACAATTGCAGCCAGGAGGGTAGTATTTCATGCAGAATGAACTGCAAATGCCTAGTCCATGTTTATTTTTTTAATATTTTATTTATTTATTCATGAGAGACAGAGAGAGAGAGAGAGAGAGAGAGGCAGAGACACAGGGAGAGGAAGAAACAGGGTCCATGCAAGGAGCTCGAGTGGGACTTGAACCCAGGAATCCAGGATCACACCCTGAGCCAGAGGCAGGTGCTCAACTGCTGAGCCACCCGGGCATCCCGCCTAGTCCATGTTTAAAAGGCTATGGGAGACCAATCATTCTTGCTACAAGTATGCTCAAGCCTTGTCCATATTCTGCATATACTTCCCACACAGACAGCGTCACATATGCTGACCATGTGCCCCAACACTTCGCTGTCTCTTACCTGCTCCTCCCTACAACTACGCAAGGGATGGAGACTCCTGCCTCCAGTGTACCATCTTCTGTCTTCTTTATTTCTACATTATTTGCACAGAGCTTTGAATAATATCCTCCATGTTTCTGCTGGGTATGATTTTTGGACAGCATTCCAACCAATTAACAAAAATGTTTGAAGGAATCCCATAAACATTAGGGCTGCTGACTTTAAATGTCAACATAGAAAAGTAATAGATTATATGCATATATTTATTTTTTACAAATTAGAACTTAAAACTTTGTACAACCTATGACACAAAGTAGTTGTCACAAAAGTAAACGATGCTAATTTAGTTGGCCCTCTGGCTTTAAATCAAAGTCAAATAGAGAAAATATAAGGCCCAATTTTAAAACATAAGTCACCAGACCCAAGTACTTTATCTGCTAAGAATGAGACTGGTTAGTTCAAATAAATATTTTTAAAATGATAGAAATGATCTATTTTATACAAGATGAGAATTGTTACAAAAATAATAATTATACCATGCTGTGTAAGACAGTACTAAGTATAAAATTTTGTAAGATGAGACTTTATAATCTTACAAGCTTTTGGATCCTTACTAGGAAGTGTAATAAATATATAACAAAAGACTAAGAAGTGGGGCTCCTGGAGGGCTCAGTGATTGAGTATTGGCCTTCAGCTCAGGTCGTGATCCTGGGGTCTTGGGATCGGATCCCACATCTGGTTCCCCTCAGGGAGCCTGCTTCTCCCTCTGCCTGTGTCTCTGCCTCTCTCTATCTCTCATGAATAAATAAATATTTTTTAAAAAATGAAAAGGACTAAGAAGTTACCAATGTGTTAAAAATAATGTACAGTGTCCCTGGAGTCTGAATTGAATCACAAAGGTTTTATAGTTTCTTTAATTGTCTTTCCTTTAGTGAACTGTGATGAATCAGAGCAGTAGCTTAACGGACATATCTTCTCAGATCACTTACTCTCTTTATATAACTCTATACCCTAAAAAGGATTTTTTTATGTAAATTTGAAATATCAGATAATAAAGAAGGAAAATTCTGACCAACTCTAGAATTTATATCCTTCAATTTATGGACAAAATTATTTCTTGTATCTTAATCTGTCATACAGAGATAGATCTAGCTCCTGAAGGAAAAATAATAAAATTGAATTTCTGATCATTCAAAGTTAAGAAACAGCACCTATGTCATGCACCCAAGTTAGGGTTTTGCATAGGAAGGATAGGTATTTGGCAACTTGGAAACTGAAATGACCATTGGTCCTCAAAATGGTCACCCACTAAAGGCCAACCAGGGTTATCTTTGAGGCCACAGTAGCAAAAAGAAGTCAGCAGGGCTAGAGGAATCAATGCCAAATATAGACAAAGAACAGAGATGATAAACCTGGTATTTTTAAAAATGGCCTCAAACCTAGGAAGCTTCCAGTTGTCTCAGTGCAGCTAAGGAAAACCTTACATTCTGGTATAATCGTGGAAAACATTTTTCACAAATGTTTGTAATCCCTCACCCAGGTGGGTCTGACAGTATTATGTTATTTGACAATAATGTTATTTATTACCAAGACTCAATGCGATCTCCTAGTCCTTTCAAGGTAATGCTGAGCAATCTATTAGAGTTGGCATATTAGTTAACTATATTTGATATTTCTATTCCAGGACATAATGCTGCACCACAAACAAGTTGACAGTTGATTGCATTCAATGACTTCCATTTATCTTCATCTCCGAATTATCAAAAGTTTGAATTACTACTCTTTATCTTAAGTTCAAATTGATTGGCGAAGCACAAAATATGACCCCATGGCATTAAATTCAACTGAGAAACTGTTGGGTTTTTTTCTTTTTGGTGGAGGAAAAGAGGATTGGCAAAAAACTGGCTACTTCATCAATGTGTGATGGACTTCACAGAGGTTTGGAAAGATGTCACATTCTATGGTAATCTGATGTATTTAATAAATAAACTCATTTTTTTCTTAAAAAAAAAGGAGCGAAGGCTTTAAGGTAAATCTACATTTTTCTTCTGTAGAAAACCACATAGAACAAGAGAGAAAACAACAAATCAATAATGACAAAGATACCGGTTACCTCTAAACCTTCCTGGGTAATTTCTGACTTTCTTTACTTCTCCCACTGTCAAGCCTTATAATGTTTTAATCCTGCTTGTGGGAATCTCTGATTTGGTGAGACTCTTTCATTCTTAAGAGAATAAATATATATGTATAAACTTAGCAATTTTGTGTCATAGCACAAAAACTGAAAGAAAAAAAAAATATATTGACCCTACCTCTGTTCTCCAGGACATTCCTGTAATAGTTTGTCCAATAAAAGCCATCTCAGTCAAATAGAAATAATGCAAAAGTTGTATATATATGATATTCATGCAAGGTATAGGTACTATAAGAAAAATAACAGTTTCCAACACATGAAGAAAACAAATTAGAAACAAGTTGCTTCAAAGTGGATGAAATACATTACACAATATTGCAGAGTGGATTTTTGAAATTATGTAAGAAGAAATATCACAAAGGAGAAATACACATATTCATGGAAGATATAGAAGATATTTGGAGGTGATCATTTGTCAAAAGGAAGGGTGACTAAAATCTGGTACTGGTAGAAATTAGAAAAGGAATATAAGAAAGAAAATAATTTCAGAAGTAAATATCAAATTAAAAGAAGCCCAAGGTATTATATATGATAGAAATGAGAAAAACAAAAGGAGGGGAAAATGTAGAAAAAGATGAAAAAGTACTAGGAGAAAAAAATGACATCGTTTTAGAAATATACAAAGACGACCATATATGTATTTGTATATGTAAGTATATATGTACATATAATTAATCTAAATAATAAAAGAAAACATAACTATGAATGAAAATATTGTATTTTTTAAAATTCTTTTCCAAACAAAATATTTTAAATATAATTCAAGAATAACTTAGAAAAAATAAGACTTGAAACTCTATTCCAGTGAAACTGTCCCAAATCTAACAATATAAGTGCTAGCAAAATTATTACAAGTGATCAAATCACTAAAAAGAAAATGAAAGTAAGACATGCCTTGCACTTATTCAGAGCTACACTCAATTCCAGAAGAGAGCTTAAAAAAAAAAAAAAGAAAAACAAAACAAACAAAAAAAAAACCTTAAAAAAAATATGCAGGGAAAGAAATAATGAGCCAGAGGTTGAATACCCAGGCTAACTGTCCTTGACTTACTTTTATTTCATTTTGTGTTTTATTTTGCTTTGCTTTTTGCCACAGAAAGCAATTTACTACAGAGATGTCTAAAGGAGAGTTTAAAGAATGGTTTCAATTTTACAGAATGAGCATTGTTAGAAAAGAACCACAGATCTTAGAGGGGCAGCTTGGATGCCATGGGCAGTCAGCCAACCAGCTACCCTGTTACCTTAGTAGCTCACACTTTAACAACTGGAAATTGTGTGCATCAAGTTTCCCTTGGCTTTTTACCAGCTGACTTGTTTACGAATATTTCAATACAAATGCATTTTCATGTCTGAATACAAGATTATTGCATAGAATTCTATAGCTAATCACACTGTTCAATCCTTTTATTTCTGAAGTTCATACTTAAAAAAAAACACTGCATTGTGGCTCAGAATAAGATTTTTTTGTCTTCCTGTCTTTTAATATTTAAATAATTATGTTTCATCTTTTAATATTTTAAATGAAAGCTACTTGACTACTTCCTCCATACTCATTCGGTTAGGGATCTGCATTAAATAGTTAAAATTAAAAAAAAAAGGTGTTAGCATCAACAAGCAAGCAATAAGAACAAAATTCCCAAAACAGTAGAAATTTTTATAAAAACGATAATGCAAATAATTATTTTCTCCTGATTAAAATGTTAAATATTCAGAGCCAATAAAACTCTATACTTACCAAATCTGTTAGAATTTTCAAATACGTGGTCATGCACAGTAGTTTCCATGACTCTTCAATATTATCTGGGAGAGGAATATATATATAATATGCCCAGAAGACCCCCATGATCAGAAGCAAAATAGTCTTTCTTCCCATGATGGCTCCCTTCTGCTCTGACTTGGCAACACACTAGATATACTTGAAACATTCAGCTCCTGAAATTTACACCCACGTTTGGCACCATGGTAAGGTGTTATCTAACTTCCCAAACACATATTTTACTGCTCAGGCTATCACTTCATTGGCTGGCCAGATACGATTATACTTAGTAAAAGTACAAAGAACTGTATTGTCTGCAAATGTTGTCATATCCAACAGCCTTCTTATGCTGCCAGGCAGTCAGTGAACAGACACTTTTTGCACAGTTAGTAGGTGAAGAATACTTTAACTATTAAAGAAAAGGCCATAATAAATTACAAGAATTTCATTATATGCTTCAAATAACAAAGCTCAGAGTGGGGGAGAATCAACAAATATTTTGAAGGTATTGAGAGCTTTTACAAAGTAAGATAGATATGGTCATGTGTATTTTATATTGCTTTTATTATCTTGCTACAACTGAACTTATCCATGAATAATGCCAATTATGTTAAAATTATACAATAATCACGGAGAGAGCTAATAGTTTTTGAGCACTTACTCTGTGATTGAAGCAAGTGGACTAAAAAAAAAAATTAAATCTTATTTAATTCCAAAGTATTATTGTCACACGAGAGAGAAAAACTGAGGCAGGGGAAAGTTCAGAAACTTGTACAAGTTCATTCAATAGGATGGAGTGAAGCCAGTAGTCCTCCTCCATAAGTACATGTTAAATACTCACTTATCCCTGTCTTCAGGTTACAGGTAAATAATTAGGATTAAAAAGATTAAGTAACTTGCTACGGTCATACAAAATCAAAAAGCAGTGTCAAGAGACATTCACTGTTCACTAGGCATGTGCGCTTGCAATTTTTAGATCCTTTCTCTTGAGGTTAAGCGAGGTTATGGACCTAGTGCTGGCAAAAGGACTCTGATAGAAAGTCATGTGTTATTACCACACAGAAGTAGTTAAGATCCACGAGACCTACAAACTATCTTTTAAAATGAGAGTATCATAACATGTAAGTTGTTTGGATTGCTAAGGGACCCAAGGTTTTAATTGGTCGAAGTCCCATAAGAGTCTACTTCTGGAGCAAGAAAATTTCATGCCGAATTTAAAATGTGTGACTTCATCATCATATCACTTTAAATACATTGCCTCACTTGGTTCTCATATTGACACTAGAACATAGGAACTAATATTATGAAAGGTTTCTTTCTTTCCCAAGGTCACATGGTTATATATTTCCAAAATTTCCAAAGCTATCTGTTAGCCTTGATTCTTTGGCTCTGAGGTCTTTTTTTTATATATATATAAATTTATTTTTTATTGGCGTTCAATTTGCCAACATATAGAATAACACCCAGTGCTCATCCTGTCAAGTGCCCCCCTCAGTGCCCGTCACCCAGACACCCCCACCCCCCGCCCACCTCCCCTTCCACCACCCCTAGTTCGTTTCCCAGAGTTAGGAGTCTTTCATGTTCTGTCTCCCTTTCTGATATTTCCCACTCATTTTTTTCTCCTTTCCCCTTTAAAGGGGAATGGCTCTGAGGTCTTCATTCTTAAGTCGGCAAATCAATGAGAAGTAGGAATCCATAGGAGCTGGTTACATCCATAGAGTGTCACCATTGATTTTATTCAAAAAAAATCTCTTGAACTTCCAGGACTTGCCTCTCTTTTTACCCACCTGTATCTGTCCTTTTCTAACTATTCTCAGGGAACGTACTGACATCAGCTTGTCTTTCCATACTTAGTTCCATCTGGGACACAGATTTACTTTGGGCATAATAAATCATTCAAGAAAGCTGAGAGGACTTTGATAAATAGTGCATTTGGGTTAAAGTATAATCAACACTTCAATTACTTGATAGTGCATCAAGTCTGTCTATTGTCCATCTCGACAGGAAATCATATCTGAAGAGTTAAAAGAAAAACCACGACAAAATCAAAATATTAATCAGAATTAACAAATCGTGTGATTTTTTTCTTCATGAAATCCCCCCATGATAATTTTATTTTTCTATAATTTACATAGAATTCCCAGGGAGAAAATAAGAGTGGTCTCAAACTTCCACTAATACTGCTCAGTAACTTGCTCCCGATTAACTTTCCTTTCCATTTCCACATTGGTTATTCCAAACAAGTTCCATTCTCTCAAGACCCAACCAAATCCTCTACCAGCATTCAACATCAGGGTAGCTGCCTTCATTCAATGTGAATGACATGGTGTTAGGTGCTGGGAATGCAAAGATGAAAATGTTTTCTGATTTCAAAGAGCTCATCTCCCTGGGGGCCATATGTTCAAGTCAACACTCCCCCTTGAGGAGGGGAGGAGACTAAAGGAATTCTGTAAGTTTTGAAATATTTATGAAGGAAGATAAATATAAGAGTTACATAATATGCAAATCATAAAGGCTTGTGGCAAAGATTACACTGAGTCACTTGTTTGGGAAAGAGTGATGTGTTGGTGTGTCAGAGAAAGTAACACTTTCCAGCCCAAATTCTTTTCAAATAAGGAGCCCTGAAGAAGAGTTAGTAAATACACTTTTTTAGAGAAACTTCTGTTTAATATGTAACTATTCTTTCATACTGGTTTTGCCTTAGTTAATATACAACTTTAGCTAATGGAATTTTGTCCTATTTGTTGATGATTAATTAAACTGATTCACAGCCGCTGGACTTTGAGTGTTTGTGTTGGATAAGCACGTCCTTCTGCATTACTGAAGGGATTCCTGCATAGATAGAGGGGGAATGTAAAATGAACACTTTGGATTTATAATATCATTAGTATCGGTTGCTGAACGTTGTACTTCACATCAACTGTTCTAACACTAATGCTCTGAAGAACCATGATCTTAGTAATTGTGCTAAGTCAGATAGTTACTGAATGTAAGTGAAGATTTTTTTTTCTAGGCCAAAGAACAATGAGACTTGTTTAACCAATCATGTACAGACCTATAGATTCGTTTGCCCTACACTTTGAGCTCATTTTCAGTCATTATCTAATCATCAGTTGCCATTACCTCCATGAACAATTCTCCTCTTCCTTTCTAGCTCTTAAAATTTTTGACTTTGACTTTTTCCCCTCAGGAAACTACTCAGTGCAAATCTTTTCTAGCATGTGTAATGTTGCATGGCAATAAAGTGATCTTTTGAAAAATTCTCTGTTTATGTGTGTTCACTTGGGAAGACGAGTCAACAGGATGAAGTGACTATCTTGAGACCCAGCTCAAACAGAAGTCATGTTGAGTGCCTATCCATGCTGGCAAATTGAACTCAAAAAAAAAAAAAAAAAAAAAAGAGTGCCTATCCATGCTCTTCCAGGTTCTGAGCTAGGAGTTTCTAAAAAACTGTTTTCATTCAGTTTTTACAACTATTTTATGAGCTGTGTATTATTTTACCAATTCTTACTAACAAGGAAACTGAAGATCAGGGAAGAATAAGGACTTTGCCCATCATCACATAGTGAGAAGTTTGTTAAACAAACATGGTGCTTCCTAGGTCTTGACTTTCCTACCAAGAGCCGAGGTCTAAAATTAGATATGTTTGACTAGAAGACTTCTGCTCTTTCTTTTACTTTGGTGATTTCCTACCCTCCTCCAGCCTCAACAGAGTTAAGGAACATATTCCTTAACTAACTTCGTTAGTAAGGATGACTCACAGTGGGAGTTATATTGATCTGAGATGTTCAAGTGCCCCTTGAGCAAAGCATCAAATCCTTAAGAGGGCAGGCAGTGTATGTGGGGAGGGGAGGTATGTGGTATAAGGAGTACTATAAAGATTAAAAAAAAAAAAACTCTTAAATTATTCTGACATGGTCTTCCTCCCTTAGTATTAAGAATCCATGAAATATTATATTGTCCTGCCGCTATGAAAATGTTTAAAGTAACATATATGTTAAAAAGGAGGAGGATGGTAAAATACTCCAGTTGATAAAAGTGATAATCTAGATAAGTGATTGGGAAATGGGAGGTTGTATTTATATTTACATCTGAGTCATATGTTTATATGGGTCAAATGTTTTTAAGTGAGAATATATTATTGCAGACAAAAAAAAAAAGCTTTAAAAATCTTCCTTAAACTTGCCAAAGGAGTTTGAACACCAAGAAAATAGAAGCTCCCAAGCTTGGACAGTGGCTTGGACAATCTCTTGTTTCCTAATCACCTAAAGTACCATGAATGTATCTTATTTTGTTTCTACGTGTTTCTACAAATGAAAAAAAAATGTAGGATACAGTTTTGGAAGAAACGAAATAAATATTAAAAATGTGAAAAAAATGTAGGATACAGTTTTGGAAGAAACAATAAATATTACTCAGATATAAAAAACATAAAAGTAGAATACAATGCAAACCACCTTTTCTCTTCTATCCTCTTTATGACTGATTTTAAGTATATCGTAAACAAAATTCAAAAGAAACCAAAATAAAATATCCATAATGTACTACAATTACCAAAAATCCCTTGTTAGCTATGAGTTTAATTCTATCAAGAATACCTTGTTTAGTGAAAATGGATACGTGAAAATTTAGCCCTTCATCTTTAAGGTCTATTTTTTGTTTGTTTTTGCTACAGCATTACTAACTTAGAAACATAAGGAGAGGAAGGTTTTTCACCCAAATCTGTGAAGATAAATTCAGAAGCAATATGAAGAAAGAACTCTAAGATCGGCAACCTCCTACAAAGCAGCTCCAGAAAGCAAGCTCGTCATAAATATCACGTTGTGGCCAGGCCAATGCAAAGTAGCAGTTGAATTATGTTAGAAAGCAGGGATCTTGAGTTTTATCTAAGGAAAACCAAAACTCAAAGAACCAAATAAAACTTCCATTCCATCTCATTCTGTGTAATACATGTGCTTGGCATGCTAATCCAAAACTCCACCATAGGATACGTACTGTCATATTATGTTGAGCATTTTATGGATGAGGTAACGGACACTTACATAACTGCTACCTATGTGATATAATGAAGATTCCTGATGCAAGACTCTATTCATCTAGAACACAGGCATGCTAATACTTAACCTTCACTGGCTAGGTTCAAATTAGGTAATGAACTTGGGGAACTTAGCATAGGTTTTGACACACAGTCAACAATAAATGGTAACAC